ACAATGAAATGAAAGGCAAGCAAACTAAGAAATGAAAGGCAAGATTTTATTTTATCGGATAATATTTTCGGATAAGATTTTATTTTATTAGTTGTATTGGTTGGTATTTATAGAAAAAAAAGTATGAGGATTTGGTGTTAAAAGTGTTAAAAGTGGAGGTGCAATATTGACTAAGTATGAAAAATAGTTTTTCGGAATAATCATTTTCTCAAGATAATTTTTTGTGGCTTTTATTCCTTACACATCAAATAAGAAAACTTGATTTTATGAGATTTTAATATGAAGTATATATTGACTTAATGAGCCATCATTTTTAGCATAAATCGTATTTTGCACTAAAACCGATTTTTCATATTTTGATTTGGTGGGAATTTGATTTTCTAATATTTTTATTTGAATCCAAATAGGGGGTACTTCCTTATTTACATTGTAAACTTAAGTAAATGGAGTAATATAAAAATAAATTAAAGTAAAATAACAAAGACATTTACTTAAATGTTGAAAATGGAAATAAGGTATAGAAAAAAAAAAAACTAATTTTTTGGTTTTTTTTTTTCAATATTTTCGGATTTTTTTTCAATTTTTTATTACAAAAATATTAACTGCCGTTGGATTGGAGCAAAAATTATGATCGGAGACGCTGACGTCAGCACGGGCCAGCCCTGCCCTCGGCCAACCAGTTTTACTGGGTCCCACCATCTTGCCCAGGCCTGCCTCCACTGCTGGAAACGAGTTTTTACCCCAAAACAACCCCCCCTCCTTGGCCCCTTGCTGGAAATGCTCTTAGCTTTTGGGGTGGACTTGCTCTTAGTTAACTGTTGATCGCTATAGCTACACTCCAAGCTCCTCGTCTCCATCATCCAACACTTTTCTTTCATACCTTCACTCAAGAGTCCCACATCTGACTTTCATTTCTCTCAATTCTCACTATATATTGAAGCAATAGTCTCCATCCCGAATCTCTCTCCCGTACATTTCTCTCTTCAATGGCGACGATAACTGACTCCATCGCTCTCTATTCTTCTGCTCAAAATTCATATCTCCGGCCGGCGATATCGTCAAGGCCGGCTCTTTCCATCTCTGTTCGCCGGAGACTGGGTGCGTTGCCGGGATTCTGGGGCTTGT